TGACATCTGAACTATGTGTGACACTGTCCTCCTTATTCCAACTGAGTTGAATTATTTACTTCAGGCCATGGGAGATGTCATTCCCTGGGTCTGCCTGCAGCCTCCACAGAAAGCATTACAGGAAACTTCCTGGAGGAGGTGGCTGTGGCCATAGTTGCAAGTCAGCTACTTGTAGGTTGAATTGAAGATATTCAAAAGTGGATTCCCCTCCAAGATCTCTGAATGTAGTCTAGCTTCCGAGGCAGATTGTCCTATGTGTTTGAAATTCCCTCAATATAAGTACCGCATATGTGCTCTCCTGACTCCCAACTATTTAGTGCTACCTGCCAGGCCTTGGGAATGCAGAGGTGAACAAAACCAAATCTTTTTTACTGGAGATTACATTCTAGAGGGAGAAACAGATAAAAAATGTATAAATAAAACATAATGTAGAGTCACATAATGATAAATGATAAACATGTAAATAAACATATGATATGGTGTGTCATAAAATAACTATGCAGGGCCGGGGAATAGACAGAGGTGGTATTAATATATTGGGGTGGTGTGTCAGGTACAGTGGGCAAGGAATATCTGAGGAGGTGTTTCAGCGCAGACCTGAGGCGAGGAGTGAGGCTTGTGCAGATCTGGGGTTGAACTTACCAAACAGAGAAAGCAGCAAGAGCAGTGGGCCTGAGGCAAGAATGAGCTCGATGTAAGCCTAGAAGAATGAGGCCGAGAACTGTGGAAATAAGGTAAGAATAGGCAGAGCCAGGTTAGGGATTTCAGTGTAATTCTTGGTGCCTCATATAGCTTCAGGGCAGTTTAAGGCTCTAAAAATCTAAGATTTCTTTGCAGGACAGCCTATACATCTCACAATTAGTCTGACTTTTAACAGACTACTACTACTACCACTGCCACTACTGCACATGCAGATACACACACACACACACACACACACACACACACACAGTGCCAGTGTTTGCCAATGTGGAGGTCAATTTGGGTCCCTGCTCCCAAATACGTCTATCAATTAATAGTATATGAAAAGTATAGACAATCAAGGGGTAAGTTATAGACAAATCCAAGTCAAGTACTCTAAGTCAGGACTTTAATTCTCTGTAATATAATGAATAATCCACACCCTTTCTCCCTGAACATATAATATTTACAAACTTGTATTCTCTCATGCCATAGAGGAGAAAGTTCTTGAGGGCAATGACTGTATTTTGCACCTATAGTTAAATTCACTGCTTTCAGGTGAGGAAGTAGTTAGTGAATATTTATTAAATAGAACTTCCTATATGTAGGGGTTCTTCTTGCTTGTTTTCAGGATTTTATAGGAGGAAGAAAAACTCACGAAGTCCATGAGCGCTAAAGGGGATGATCTGGGCAGTCGGGGAAGGGCCTGCATGTAGTCAGTGTGGTGGAGGGTGGTGAAACAGGTAGAGTAGGCCCAGAAGACGAACAAAATTTCCTTACAATTTCCCTGGCAACCCAGTCATATTAGAACACAAAAATCTCCCTATTACAGAAGCATTCAAATGTGTATCAAGATAGGATTTGCCCTGTATCTCTTTTCTCAGAAGATCCTTTGCCCCTCTCAAAATGTTGATTCAAGCAGTTAATGCCATCGTGAACTTGAAGCATTTGGTGTATCCATTACCTCTTTGTACTTCATGAGTGCCTCAGGCACAACATGAGATTTTGGAAAACAACCAAGATTCTTGAATTAGTAAGGGTCATCTGCAAAACTGTCTGTACTCTTTATATCAGGATAAGGAACCCAAAGAGAGGAACAGGAATTCTTACTGTAGCTTCTGTGCTTTATAGACACTACAGACTTGAGTCATAAATAACACTACATCATCTGCCAAGACAGCCCCAAGTGGCTGGCTGTTCTGTTATTGCCTGTGAGTTACTGGGGCTGTGGAGAGAGGGTCCCAGACACCTACCCACTTTGTGCCTTGAATAGTCTGATACCACTATTGGGAGAACAAATTGAACCTTTATGGGGTTCCTTCTTTCTACTAAAGGCAAAGTGTCTGAGGCCCACCTTGGGATGCCTTTCTCATCCTTATATTAGAATTACTGGAATATTGTACTTTTTTCCTCCTCTGTCTTCCTCTTCCATAAGAGTGTAAGTTCCTTAAGGGTATCAACATGTCTTAAATTTAGACTACATATTGCACTTAACATATAGAATTGACACTTGGCATGTATGTACAGAGTTGGAATATGAAATTGCCTTGTGATATTGGGGAGAAAGGTAGTATTTTTAAAAAATATTGAAATTATTTTCAAAAACATTCCCAGATTCAGAATATTTACATGGTCCAATATGAAAAAAAACTAAAGAAAAAAATGCAGTCCATTATCTATGAAGCAAATAAAAGAGGAGTACTTAATGAAGTTTCTCTGGGACAATGTGAACAAAAAAGGAAAATTACTGAGGATAAACTGGAGAATCTTCGTGTTAAACTGGCAGTATTGTTGCAGAAACTTCA